TCATCCTGGAAATGATAATTACTTGGCAAAAATGCAGTGCATTTCTGAATGAAGTAATCCATTCATATTAATATTTGACTATGACAGATTCTTAACTCAAGTACATTTGAAGTATGAAAAAAAAGTGTAAGTTTATTTTTTCAATAAGACAAACTGTGCAACCTGGAAACACATTTGAAGGTTGAGTGATTAGTTTGTCGTTACATCTGAGGATTTGCATGGATATAAAGGGCAGGCAGTTCCACTCTCTCTTTCGCTGAACTTGAGTTGGCTTTTTCACATTCACCATGGCAACCTCAATGATCAACACATACATGAGCTCTGAAGTGTGTGCCAAAACTTTCCAACGTTAATAATGAATAGGTATGAGCTCCATGATACAAGCCTCTCTCAACAAGTCACTGCAAAGCTGATGCAATTCCAGGATGCCATTTCCTTCTCACAGTACGCCACTGTGAAGGTGTACCGAACCTTGTGGACATTTATGTTTCTCCCCTACTGTAATATATGGCCAAGTCCCTTTGGTCCCCTTCTTACTCTAACATTGATCAATATAGCTTGCTTTGCATCCTCTCAGTTTAAACAAAGAAAGTAATGTTGGAAGGCAAATATTGCTGGAGCAGATGACTTTGGTTTAATGCATCTTTTCCTTAAGAGTAGGAATGCAAGACTCAGCTGCTCGAATATTTAACAGAAGAAGATCCCCATTTGTTTATCTGTTTAATGGCTCTTTTATCTAGGCCAGCTGCTGCTCCTGCTGCTGCTATAGCCACTCCTAATTGGAAGGAAGTTGCCTTTGTATCCTAGTGGTTTAAACCTGGGAGATTGCTACCTGGAACCTACACCCCAAATTGGTGTCTGAAATGGGCTCCTTTATAAACCATACTGTGTATTTTAACATAAAAGATAAGCTTTCATGATACTATTTTATTTCAGCCTTATTTCTACTGTGAGGCGTTTTATCATACTACTTTTACATGAACTGAAGCTTGATCATTGATTTCATAACCAAAAAATGACTTTGGTTCTGCTTAATATTACTTACAGCCTTTTGTACAACTAACTCCTCTTTTTTAACTCATCAAGACAATTTTATACTCAAGAGTAGTTATTATTCCTTCCATCTAACTATTTGGGTCAGTTTAATGATACATTAATAATTATTAAAGGGAATTGGAATCTACTACATGGTTGGATTCCTGTTAGAGCTCCTGAAAAACCTTGGGATCAAAGTATTATTCGTAGTTTATGGTTTGCTTTTTGTCTTTTCAAAACACTGCTGTAGATCTAAGTGGTGAACATAGCATTTGTGCAACTTTCTCCAAAATTTTGTCAGTCCAACTGTCTTTTAGTTTTAATACTTCACAGAAGTAGCATGTTCGTCATGATGACAAGGCACCTTCAAAAACTATGCTGGTAATTACTTTTCTGTGGCCCCTTTCGAGATAAATGGTCTTACTGGACATTGATTTGTTTAGTCTTAAGAAATAGACCTTCCAATAGGAGACAAAGCAAATTATGTAATAATGTATGAACTGACAAATAAAGTAGGACTGAATTTTGTATTTATACAAGTGAATTATATGATCTGAGTCTAAAGCCTCAGTGAAAGTCCTTTCCCTTACACAAATGTGCACATTGAGCTCTGTGCTGGCGTTGAAGATGGAGTTTCTGCAAAGGCTCCGTGCACCTTAGTAGCAGCACTTCTCTGAATTACGTGAAACCAGTTGGGACATGATGAAAGAATGCAAGGTATAAACCCTTGAGGGCCTGTGAGTCACCATCTCGAAAGATGCTTGAAAGGGTAAGAACGTTTTATGGTTTGATCAATAGGAGCCTGAGAAGTAGGCTGCAGGGTAAGGATATGGTGAGGATTAAAAATTTCTGGACACTTAAAGAGTTGAATTACCACCTTAAGAAAGTTCCTGAGAGAGAGAGGCAGAAAGAGAGATGTTTTTCATCACATCTCAACCAGCAACCAACCTTTCTTCTGGGTCAGAATGCAGCCAAAGTAGATTTAATGATAATCAGCCCTCGGCATCCAGCCCCAGTGCAGAACTGTGGCCTGCACAGAGTTTGCTAGAGATCCAATGCCCACATCCAAAAGGAAGTAAAAGGTGGGGTTGCAGACTTCAAAATTAGAGCAAATTTTCCATGGAATACTTCATAAAAAGAGATTCGTACTCTATTTTTTCAGCCAGAATGAACTTTACTTGGAAAATGTATGAAACAGTGTTGCAGTTGGGTTTTTCCTCCCTCTTGTTATTTTCATATAAGTTACAAGCTATTGCATTAATGTGGTTAGAGAATTTAGATCATGTTCGTAAAGGATGCAGTCAGTGTAACGGCATGGTCACTGTCACAAGTGCAAAAGTATGAGTGAAGGAGCCTGGCTAAGAATTTCTGAACTCAGAGTAGATTCTAAGAGTTACTGCCACTCCTTTGGCTTTTTCCCGATCCTTAGAAACACACAGAATCCTCCCATGAGACATGACTAGATAAAAACTCAGACTTCCAAGATAAAACTCAGAGCTATCTATGTGGTATGCCCGGCAGACCAGAGTGCTAACTGCTATGGCAACAGTGGGCCTCCGTCCTGGGCAACGGGGTAGATGTGGCCTTGAGGACCAGGCATGATGGCCAGGAAGAGGAAAGGGTATGCCCCACTGAAGAACCCGTGCCCTTAGCATTGGGGTTGCATCCAGCACCAAGCCCCTTTTCCATTTTCCTTGTCTGGGTTACACAGAAGAGGCTTCTGGTAGAGGAGTTCTTAGTGCATCCAATCAGAATTATGAGGAAAGCTGACTCTCTTGATGAGACACCAAAGAAAGAAAGCAGGAGACAATGACAAGGGGAACAAATGAAGGAGGGAGAGCTGAATAAGGTGGTCATCCAAGTCTAGTTCTTCATTTTGTGCAAGTCCAATCAGTGCCTCTCAGGACCTCACACCCTCCTGCGTTCTATGAAGAGTCCTCGCTCATGCCAAGAACTGGGCAGCTGGCAGCCACACCCTACACAAGATGCGAAGAGCCTGTAAATGAGGATATTCTGTTCCTGGATCTCTTCCTTGGGTAAAACATGCAAGTGTCCACATAGCTAGACAACGTTAAATACCAGTTTCCTCTTCCTGAAGAGCACCAAGAGGAACCTTCATGGAGCGTAGTATGACAACTACTGCCACGTGGTGTTATCACAGGCTTTATGTCACGAATAATACCTTTCAAACATGTTGTAAAAGACCTACTTCACAAGGACATAAAAACACTTCTATGCAAAGATCAGGAAAAAATACTTTTGAATTGAAATTAAGGTGCATGCTCATTTATGAACACCTGTGTTAGAGGTCATGTAGAAATAGCAGAGCTTTCCTCAGTCTCCTTGGATTGAAAACGTAAACTCCCCTCCTGTTTGGTGCTTCCTGCAGTTTGATTCCTAGTTCAGGCTCCTACTCTAACTCACCAGTAGGGGAATAGAGCCATTCTGGCATATGGAGGTCTTTCTGGGCAAACCAGTGAAACAGGTATCACAGCTGCCCTGTTGAGAACACCTAACCTGGGTCCTGAGTCTGGGCCAGCCAAATGGTACCTTTATAGACCCTCTTTCCAAACCAGCCCTCACAGGCAATCTATCTTCTGAAACATTGTGTGTTTCTAACGGGGAGGGAAAGAAGTAGTAAAATAGATTTTTGTCCAGAAATACTCATTTGTAAAGGCTGATTTTCGGCCTAGCAGAGATGCCTTCATAGAAGGCAGCTCTCTGTGAAAGCCAAGGTGAAGGTGTTTGAAATCGAGAAAGGGCCGCGGACTCAGCTTTTCTGCAGGAAGGTGACTTTCTGCCCGTTGGATCTTCCCTCTCCATTAATCGGAAGTAGTTCTTTAAAAAAAAAAAAAAAAACTGGAGGGAAAAAAACAAAACAAAACAAAATAAACCAACCTCCTGTTCCATGCCCCAGGCAGTCTTCTTGTGTAAAGCAATCCGTGGCAGCCAGTCAAGTATCTTGGTAGGAGTTTTCCCCTTGAACTCTGGCTGCAGAGCTTCTTACAGTCTTAGAGAAACATCTTACAGAGCTCCCACTTAGATCTGCCCTTTCTCTCCTGATGTCTCTCTCGGTTTCATGTTCTCTTCTCAGATCCTTCTTTAGGGGATCATTTTGGATGGAGAATGTGTAGGCACGGGCTCACAGGGATGAGGGGTTTTCTCTCAGTCTGGAGAAGTTATAGCATGCATACGTGCTCCTGGGAAGGGGGGAAGGAAGCAAAATACTGCCCACCAGTTTCCACATGCAGTGTGTGCTCTTATCCTCAGTGACCTTTTGCCCTTCTGCCACATTGCTCACCCAGAGATCCCAGGGCCCTTGATAGCTGTTAGGCGTTTTCAGGAACTGAAGTGTAATGAAGGGGTTGTTGTTCCTATTCACAGAGTTAAACTAAGTATGAAAGGAAAATTAGCGTCAGAATAGAATCCTGTCTCAGTCTTTAAATTTGCATCTTTAAATCAAACTATAGTTCTCCCAAAATTAAGAGTTATAGCCACTTAATGAAAAATAATTCATATGGAGTGTTTCCCTGTATTAAATTTGCAACTGTTATAGTTAATGCAACACTTTTGTTAACTCAATGTGTTTACATTCTTAAAACTAGATGTGTTGGAAGAAAGGTTGCGTTTAGCTTTCTCTCATGCATATAAATTTAGTGCAAGCCCTTGTTTTAAGGCGCTTTACGTAGTTGAATTGACATTGCCTAGTAAACAATGAAAAAGTTAAGCATAACCGAGAAGTCGTTTAAAACTGTGAGTCATTTTCCTGACAAGCCAATAAGGTAAGAGAACCTGCGTTGCAAAATAATTACTAGCCCAGCCTTAGGGACCCTGAAAATACATTACGGGTATCAGCTAAGAAAACAAAGCAGTGGCGTTTTACCACTCTGCAGAGAACAAGCTAAGGTTGCTAACCCAACAAAATAACTTTACACTGACAATGCCAATTTTTACATTTGTTTCAGAACAAGGGACGCTCAAACTACCGGAGGTAAGATTAACATTAAAAAATTTTTATATAATCTTTGCATTTCAAGTTGTTTGCTAACTTAACCAGACTTGAGCTTTTACAATGTTAAATGTGCCTTTTAAAATGAGTAGAAAGAAACAGGAATAGGGGGAGCAGCCAAGTGCCTGTGAATGAAATGCACAAGTTCAATCAGAGGGATTTTCAGTCTCTGTCTGAAGATGTTAGGTGGAAGAAAAACGTGAATATTTAGCATAAGACTGTGTGTGACAGGGGGCACTCAGAACAGAAGGAAGGGTGGCCCTTATCCCAGGAAGCTGGTAGACGTGTCCCTGTCTTGAAATGTGTCGCTGCCCAACATTTGCCAGTACTGAAAATTCTAAGGTTGTTCATTAAGGACACGGTTTCATGTTCCTGGTAGTTTTCCATATGAGCACAAACATGATTAGTGTCATGTCCTATTGATAAAATCGTGATCTGATGACATTTCCTTTAGGTTTAACACAGAGTCTAACTCCTAATGGCTTGGAAGTATGTGATTCCTATTACCTCTCAGAATAAAGTTACTTAAAATACAAAAGAATAAAAAATATGTCAGATACCAGACAACCATTGCCTTGCTCTTTAACCAAAAGTTAACAGATTTCTCACCAGAAACCCCACAAAATACCATAGCAAAAACATTAAAAAAAACCATAGCAGAGAAAAATAAAATATAAAATATTTGTGATTAGTTACATGAACCAAAAGTATAATAATCTGAGAATTTCAGAGTAACAATAATTATTTATCAAATTATTTTAACATGTAACAATTGTCTCTTTAAAAGTGATGTAATAGTATGTTTTTAATAAGCTAGCATTTATATAGTTGGTAAAAATAATGAAAAGTACAGCATGATGTCGTAAGAGGCACTTGTTTCTACTTTTTTGCATTAGTTTGTATAATTTGTACAATACGGTATCAAGAGTGTGATGTGAAGAAGCTCATATGTATCTATTCAGTGTTATTCATTGACTGTATTTTAGAATCTTGAGTCTAGGTCAAGGAATGCATAACAAAATAATATATTTTAAAAACAGACCACACAAATGCTTTTAGGGCTAAAATAAATTAACCTAAAATTTCCTGTAGTGATTCGTCAACAGGTAAAATTTTTTTCTGCCAGAGCTGTCAGGATTCTTCCAGCAGTGGCAATGAACTTCTTTCGCTTACTCTCTCGTGCTGTTATCATATTATTGAAACAGATACCTTGTAGAGCTCTGAACTTTACAGTGTTACTTAACATTTATCCTATTAGACATATGCGTATTATTTTTTCCAAGGAAGAAGGTTTTGTTTTACTTTAATTAAGTAATGTGAAGCCGGGTGTGTTTACAGAAAGAAAGTGTGCTAATAAGAAGTGGTTAATAATTTTCACGTGATATTAAATAATTCTCACAGGTACTTTTATACTCTTAAAAAGTACATTTAAGCCTATTATGAAAGGAATTAATTTTCACATTGATTTTTTTAAAATAGAGCATCAGTTTTTTAGTGACTTGCTTGAAATAAGCGTAATTTTTATTTAATGTGTGACTGTGCTAATAATCTCTACTTTAGATGGGGAATTATAGTAAGCTCTTATACTGGCCAGTTCATGTGGAAACTGGTTTGGTTTAAGTAGGAAGTGTGGCAAAAGAATATAAAGAAGCATATACAGATACTTCCACAGATAAGGTCTTCCACAAATAAATAGCGAGGCCCTTTTGTAAGCGCTGTGATTTTTATTTTTTCCCCTCTTAAAAGGACCTTCCTTCTCTCCATGGACTGACTTACAGTCCTTTTCTGTTTCCCTTTCAATAGCTATGATTGTGAATTTTTTATTTTTAATTTCGTACTTTATTCTCAAGGTAGGCCAGTGTTCAATAGCTACAGGATCCGTGGGCCTCCGTAACCACACCTGGGATGTTCCCCTCACATCCCATGCTGGCATAGACCTTCAGAAAGCCCCGCTGGCTCCAAGAAGCAAGTTTATCATTTCATATCTGCGTAGCTACTTTAAATTCATTCCACAGGTTAAAACAGGCAGAAGAACCAAAGCCCGCTTCCATATAATATAGCAAATGAAGCTTTGCTCGTGTTATTGGTAAAATCAACAGAGAATTAGATTTTTTTCCCAAAAGAGGCAGGAAAAGAGAGCTTCTTGGATGAAAAAAGTATCTTTTTTTTTTTTTTTTTTTTAGAGAAAAACAAAGTAATAGGTCATGAAGCCAGAAGTACCTACCAAGTACTTATAAAATTAGGTTTGTTTTAGGTAGATCAAAGGAGATCGAGAAGGTTCTGAAGACTGATTCTCATCACCATGAGAACCATGTGGGGCTGCAACTGAGAGCCCGCTGGGGGCTACCCCCTGTGCCCTCCCCTTCTGTTCCCTTTCCTGCTAGGGACAAAGGCCTGTCCAGCTCTGCCTTGGGCTTTTGAGAATATAAGTTGGGGACAGGAGTATGTGGACAGAGATGACAGGATGACAATTGCAGTTTGCATTTAAAAATTGTTCACAATTTTCTGATAAGCGTTTCTAAGTTTTTTATAATATAATATACTTTTTAAGTCCTTTTTTAAAGTATAAAAAATTTCATACTATCCAGATGCATTTGGTCTTATGAGGAGTTGAAAATTCCTCCCCCCCTTTTTTTTTATATTTCTTAAATACATCGGATCATAGTTCATTACAATGCCCACTCTTCCTGTAGAAAGGTTTCTGTTTTCATGGTGACTGATTTTCAGTGACTTTTCAGCAGGAAGAACCTAAGACATACCTAGTAAGGCATTAACATAGTAAAAGAATTAATTCTTTGTGTGAATGTAAACATTCAAAATACCATGAAGTAAATAATAGTGATGATAATAATAATAATAAGCTATCATATCACTTAATAATCCTTACCATTGACAGGAACTGTTCCAAGCACATGTAAATTAATTTCATTTAGTTCTCACCACAAACCCTATGAAGTTGGTACTATTATTATCCCCATTTTATAGGTGAGAAAACTGAGGCACAGAGATATAAACTAACTTGCTTATGATCAAACAGGTGCCAAGTGGCAGGAGCTGAATTTGAACTGAGGCAGTCTTATTCTAGAATCCATGCTCTTAATAATTACACTGTGTTGCCTATTTTAATCCTAAATTCAAGGTAATATAGAGTTGCTTTTGAACTCAGGTTCTCTTTTTCACATTTTGAGTTTACAGTTTCTAAACAGCACTAGTTTAGGGATTCTAGGAATCAGACCTAAATGTTGAATTCCTTTCTTGCCTTCGTAGCACTTTGATAGCAGAGGGTGTGAGACCAGTAGAAAGACAGCTTCTATAGTATGTTAAGAAGGTGGTGGGACCCTGCAACATTTGAGCTTCTTCTAGACCTACCCACTCTCACTGAGACTTTAAAAAATTAAAAAAAAAAATAAGTGGTGGAATATGTAGGAAGTAAACAAGAGCAAGATACCCGTCATTATATATGTTCCTGTTGAAAGTATTGTCAATTGTGTTGTTCAATGTCCTTTGTATAGAGAGCTCCAAACAAGAAATTATAAAATCTCAGGTAGAAAAGAATTTTTCTTTGAAAGCAGTTTTCTTTCATGTTATCAGATCTGAATCTGTAACTCACCTTGCTTCCCCTTTTTGTGGTTTGGCTACCGAGAAGTCCAGAGCAGCATTTTCCTGTCCCTCAGGGACTCTATCATGGTATACCCGATGCAGCTATCCATCTTGCTCAACATAGCTTCAGTGCTGATGTTAATGCTCTTACTAGTTTTTACAAATCCATGTTGAAAGGAGTTGGGGTTAAAACAAAAATTACAATAAAAAAATTTCTCCAATTTGCTTTCACCTGAGAACCATTAGAGTCTGCTGGATATGGCTTTGAGGCCCTTTGGGAGACTGAAAAACCTCATTTCACCCATTTGACTTGTGAATTAGAACAGAAGGAACCCTGAGAAAAATCCATGGCTAATGTGTGCTTGGCACAGCCAAGTGTTCTCTGAATGATACCAAAACTCCAGACACCAGCACAAACCCTAACACATATGAAAAGAAAGTGGCTTTTGTGAAAATCTAGATTATATGATAGTCATGGACCCAGCATTTCATCTAGTTGTGTAATAACAAGTGAAAATCAAGTCCTTCTTAATTAGTGAGTTTACTATAGTTATTAGGTGGGAATGAATTTAATGCCTATGAAATCAAATGTGTAGCCATGCATTTTCAAAGATTTAAAATCTCTTGTTTTGCATCTGAGCTATAGTTTTTGTAATACATATTTTTTCTTATGGATTCCTTTTCTGGACCATAACAATTAACTTTTCTGGTTCATGAGCTGTATGTTTTGTTTTTTTAAAAGTATTCAGATACAACTGGTCTTAATTAAAACGCCATTTTCATTTAAGTGTTTGCTAAAATCAGAGCTGCAAGTCTTTGTTTTGAGCTGTATAGCCCTTTCAGTCTCTAGTCTGTCAGGCCCTCTAAATAGCTGAGTTAGAGTTTTAGATCAGTTTAAGGCTTTTGCTCATATGTCTTTGCTGGCAACATTTTCCAACCAAGAATGGCTGCCTGGGCTTTGTTCTCCTAGTTCCTGTAGTGCCTATGACTTAAAAAAAATTGAGTCACAATGTCTGGATTTAGCAAACAAAAATATTTCCTTTTTTTAGTGTTATAAGTTATCAATGACTTATTAAATGTAACAATGTACATATGGAAGACTTATTAGAGGAGCAAAAAGCAAACTTTAAAACTATGTTTTGATCAAATTTAGTTATGCTTTATTTGAAAAAAGTGCAACCTTCATTGGCTTTCCAAAGTGTCAGAAGTAATATAATTTAATAATGCAAAATCACCAACACATCTTTGTTTTCTTTTATTTTTGTGCATAGAAACGGACCAATGGACTCCGAAGAAATCCCAGGCCAGTGGATCCAGGTGTGTTTCTGATTAAACGTCCTATAATCATGAGTTCAGTTAAGTGATTAGGAAAGTATATGGGAATTGCTGTGGAAAGTCAGGCCTATTGTTGGCCTTTGTTTCTCACAGTTTGGTGTATAATGTGTGACCAGGAGGCCACGATCGAATGTGTAAATCATTCACATGGTGAGTAACCACCAGTACCGCACGCTTTTTACAGTCAGCAGTTGAGCTGGTTATTTGCTTACTGAACAGCCTCGGGGTGCCTGGTTAATGCTCACATATCCAGCAACCTCCCCCGTGCCCTTCTAAATCTGGTAAGAAAATCATCCAGCAGGCTGGCACTTAAAAATTAACGTTTTTTAAGGGAGTAGGGGAAAACATAAACCAGAAAAATTATACCCTCCCCATTTGAGAAAATTTCGTCATCCTGTATCTATGCTATTTTATGATAGAAGCATGGTTTTTATAAACAAACATGGACTTTATAAACAAATTTCCTCTCTGGAGACCAATTATTTGCCTGCAGAAAACATTCAGTTGCTTTCTGTTTAACATTGTAAGGTTTGTCCTGTCATTATTTTAATATAATTATTTTTTCATCCATTAAGCAATGCCTTCCACAGTTTAATTACCAAAGATCTTATGTATATGATATTTTCGTGAGTAAAAGGTATTCACAGCTAGAGGATTCTAAATATATAAACTCGATAATAAATGAAGTAGAACGTGAAATAGAGAGTATCCTTGCTGGAAAATAATCTGGATTATGTGTTTTGTTTTGTTTTCTCATTATAAACAATGTTCACCTAGTTGTAAAGTTTAGTTTTCAAAGCGTTATAGCTTATAACTGAAACCACACCCATGTAGCCATGCCAATTTATGAGCTGTTTGAGATTTATGGGAGCTTTGTTGCCTCTGGCTAGAAATTGCCTCACTTGTGTCCTGAGATCAATTTAAATCTTTTAACTACAGAACAAAATTGAGGCCATTAAAAAAATGGGGTTCTGGGTCACTTTTTCATAGTTCTAACTTTCCCAAGACGATACCCTTTGCAGAGGACTCTGCAATAATATTTAGAAATGACTTCCTCTATTCCTTTTAGTAAGAGTATATGACTGAGACCATAATATTTTTGTCTTATTTTGTGTGTTATGGTATTTCTGTTTCAGAAAATTATCTAAACATTATAAATGTTATATTTTAAATGTCTTTTTCTTTCATGGGCATTTCTATTTAGTCCATTTTCCCCCAGGGAAATGCATTTCTATGTTTATAGTGTGTCAGTAGGTATATATTCGACCCTTAACAGTGTACTATATAGCCAAAATTTTCTGGATCTCTTAGATTATTTAAAGGAAAGTATAGTAAATTCACAGATTATAAACATGGCTAAGTAGACCAATAATAAATTTATACTCCTTTATCCTAATGGTGGTGGCTTTGTATAGATACAACTCTTCTGGTGTTTCTATTTATTCAAAGATTTTAGAACTTCATAAAGAATAAATTTACAAAAGTGCTATTGTATGCTACGTTTGTAAGAATATATAATAGTTTTCCATTAGGTAATATATATATATGAGCATATTTCTCACTTTCCTACATTTTTGGAAAAAACAAACAAATAGTTCATGATCTTGCTGGTTGAAGCTGTATTTTTCCCTGTAGCTATCTTTTGATTTAGGCTAGAATTATGTATTCAAGGTTGCTTGACTTTTGCATCTCTGCCTCTTTTTGCTTGGCAAAGCGCAGACTTCTTTGGTCAAAGTTAACCCTTGCTTGGTGACGATCTTTCCTTGACCCTGATGTGGCTGTTGTTTAGCAGATTTTCACAGTTGTATGGGAGATGTCTCACCCAAGATGTTCAAACAGGGGGTTGGTAAACTGAGGCTGCATGGACAAACTTCTTCTAAGGTACATTATTTGCTGTTAGTGCTTTTACCATGGAAGTTCCTTTGACTTTTTTCTCTTCTAGCTAATTTAGTTGACATATCTATGTGCTAATACACTGACTCCTTTCCAGGGCCTTACTTAGGGTGGCTTGTAGAAAAAACTAGGTTAAACACTTTCAGAGGCCAGGTGTTACCACTTCATGAGGTCCAAATTTCAGAGCTAGGTACAAAGGTAAATTAAATATCTTCTCCATAGACCTTTTGTCTTGAAAAGGAACTTAATACATAGTTCAATGGGTAGTGGGTACTTAATAAATATTTGCTGCATGAATTAATGAGTGGTTGTATACTTTTTCTGTACACATTGCCTCTCTTGCTTTTTAAATTCTTCCTGCTGATGTACTAATGGAACACGACAGCGTAGTCTAGTGGTGGGAAGCGTGGCTCTGAGCCACATCGCCTGGGCTTGGGACCGGACTTAGCTGTTCACTTGCTGTTTGACCTTCGGCAGTTTGCCTCCTCTCTCTGTGCTGTAGTTTCCTCGTTGGTAAAAGGAATCTAATAACAGTTCCTACCTTACAAAGTTGTTGTGAGCATTGCATGAGTTAATACATGTAAAGTACTTTTTTTTTTTTTCTGAGACAGAATCTCACTGTGTTGCCCATGTAAAGTACTTTTAAAAGTGCCCAGTATGTAGTAAATGCTAAGTGATAGCAAGGATTATACAATTAATTTGTATTAAAGCATGTTATTTAATATTAGATACTTTGTCCTGTGAAGGAGAATTAATAATATTTGCCCATTATTTCTTTTGAAACAGACTCTGAGTTTTATGTTGAATGTCCATTAAAGCAAGAAGTTACGTAATCACAGTCATTTTCCGATTTATCATTATTCTCTGCTTACCTGATGGATTTCATGATCTTTTGCTTATCTTCACCAATAGACACAATCAGTAGTTATGATTGAGACTTTTTTTAGTGAAATTATTAGTGTTAGTGATTGCAATAACGCAGCAAAGAAAGGAAGACTCCCAAGGTTGAAAATGTATTATTCAAACCCAAGAAAGATGTGAGCTTTAAGTTTGCATTGTAGCTTTTTAGCACATTTAAAACGTTTACTCTTTATTAGTAATTGTGGTTAATCTTTATAGACTATTTGCAAATGGCTTTGTTCTTTATTTTTTGGTCTTCTGTTGTGTTCTAAGAACTTATCAATTTATGATCTTGACTGCTTTTGTAAATATAGTACTGTGTTAGATGCAAATTTTGGTAGTTCTTTTGGATTTCTTAAATATAGCAGGATATTTTCATCAGTTTGTAATTTTCTTCCTGAGACAGATGTTGGTATCAGGAAAATAACACTTGTAACAGACAGATCAATTATTTCAGGAACACGGAGGTGCTAGGCCTTTGTCAAGAACATGAGATCATAAATCTCAAGAAAATCTGAGCACTGATGTAATATTTTTCACCTAAAGTGGCACTCAAGGTCAAAGTTAGCAATTAAATTTTAATACTGAGCTTTAAAAATTTCCCTCTGTCTAAGTACAGGAGATACAAGATTTATTTCAGTTTGTATGTGGCAAATGTATATACCAGGGCATGATTTCTTTTCATTGAGTCCATGTTTTTAGACTATTGCAAAATTGTCTTCTATTTGTGGAATTCATAGCATCCTGTATTAAGTCCAGTCACTAGCTTTTAAAAAATTCAGGCCATTGTTCTGTGTTGTGCTGCCTGAAGATTAGATTGAGTAGTTGGGAAATGTTTAGGTAGCTTACTCCCTTTCTGATCTTAAGTTACTGGTGTGCTTTGTGATAACCTTGAATAGTAAATGAACAGATAATGGTTAAATTGATGAGTCCTTTCTGAGAGCTCTTGCTTCTCATGTGCTCATTGTTAAACTCTTGATTACAAAGAGATACATGTGACTTAGAAACACTGTCTTTTGTTATTCACCAAGGAGATGTCTTACTGTTTCTTAGCAGAGACATCTTCAAAGACGGTCACTTTCTCTTTCAGATGGATAGGATTGATACATAACGCCCGCCATTACTATTTGTTCTTGTATGAAGAAAGGAATTCAAGAAATCTTTATTTCATTACCAACTTCCTTTCTTACATAATATTAAGCACAGGAATATCATCAATTATAAAGCATGTCCCTTCTCCACAGGCAATTTATATTCTCCCTAGGAAAGGAATAGATACAGGCACAAAGTTTTGATTGCATAAATGAATGTATATAAATATACATAGAAACATTTAAATGTTAT